ATAGCCAACATATGCTAGACAGCATAACGACAACTGCTCTACAAACTAAGGGTGCCTTTTAAAGCTTTTGTTTTGACAGAGTGTGTAATGTAAATCAAACTCACTCACTTTTATCCTTTAACTTCCATTCAAGGCAACTATATAATTATGTGGGAAAGGTATAGATGTATATGTTCCTGCCTTTAATACAATTGTATACCTAAATACAAATGGAAACTGTGTAACCAAAAAACTAAAATAATTTCTAGCATTGGGATGGTGTTTCTCAGTCTTTCTTCTTTACTCCCCATACTTAAGGAGATTTTTTTTCCTAATTGTGTTTACCAAATAGCATCACACCATATGCTGTAGATCTGTTTATGTATGTATACTTGTGCTTTATACAGGAAGTGAGCAATCTATGTTTACCCCCTCCCCAGTAACTCACTCATTGGAGACGACATCACCCCTCATGAGGATACATGCGCTATTCTGGTAAAACAGTGTTGGGATCACGTAGCCTATCCCATGACTTTACAAAGAGCCAGATCTGTTCTCCTGTGTTTCCTGTTTTTCGACAGCCTGTCACTGTGTGCTGCACACCTTGGTGAAGAACAGCCCTGTCCCTTCGTCTGAATGCCCAGGTGCAGCTCTGTTCAGGTTAACCCTGAAGCAAAAGAAATCCCAGAAGACAGTGAAATCGTAGAAATTCAACTTGTATGTAACCTGGGTTCTAGTCCCAGTTGGGGCGCCGGTTCTGTCCGGTTGCTCCTCTTCCAGTCCAGCTCTCTGCTGTGGTCAGGGAGTGCAGTGGAGGATGGCCCAAGTCCTTGGGCCCTGCACCCGCATGGGAGACCAGGAGGAGGCACCTGGCTCTTGGCTTCGAATCGGCGCAGTGCGCTGGCCGTAGCAGCCACTTGGGGGGTGAACCAATGGAAAAAGGAAGACCTTTCTCTCTGTCTCTGTGTCTCTCTCTCACTATCTAATTCTGCCTGTCAAAAAAAAAAATTTAACTTGTATGTAACCCGGGTCACTAATTTTTAACATTTTATTAAAATACAACACACAGCCATCAATATTGTGCAACTGTAGAACACTTTCATCACCTCAGAAAGAAACCCTGGTCAAAATAGAAACTCTCTGCTTCAAAGGACATCATTAAGAAAGTGAGGATGTGGGGCTGGCACTGTGGCATAGCGGGTTAGCTGACACCTGCAGTGCCGCTGTTCTCTGTATGGGTGTCTTTCAAGTCTTAGCTGTTCTGCTTCTGATCCAGCTCCCTGCCAATGCACCTGGGGAAGTAGCAGAAGATGGCCCAAGTGCTTGGGTCCCTTCCACCCATGTTGGAGACCTGGATGAAGCCCTTGGCTTCTAGCTTCAGCCTGTCCCAGCCCCAGCCCTTGCAGCCACTTGGGGAGTGAACCAGCAGATGGAAGACTCTCTCCCTCTCCCTCTCCCTCTCCCTTCTCCCTCCACCTCTCCTTCTCCTTCATCTGCTAGCTCAACCTGCGAAACATGTGCTTCCCCGAAGCCTGTGCCATGCTTGCGTGCACCGGCTCATGCCCTGGCAGAAGTATCTCCGTGCATGCCCACCTCTGCAGGCACCAGGGGAGACTTCAGTGTCAGGCTCAGTTGTGCTACACCTATCCTCCAATGGGGACACCTGTGCGATGCTCGTGGACTTTTGCCTCTTACGTCCCCCGGCTGGAGTGGGTCATGGAGTGAGAGCTCACGAAGTGCGTATTAACTTAAGATATATGTAGTGTGTGAGTCGTGCGTTATCTTATACCTCTTTGAGAGAT